GATAAGGATGAATCTATATTTCATTGATAATTTATGCTGTGCGGACTGTTTTATAAACTTATTCAATTTCTGTATGGTTCAGGTAGGATAAGTGACAGTTATTATGGGTTTAAGTGAGGATTGTTTTAAGTTCACTTAAAGGGCACCTATTATGGAAAATTCACTTTTACATGGTGTTTGAACATAAATGTGTGTTGGCAGTGTGTGAGCAAAACGACCCTAGAATGATAAAAATCCACCCAGTGTTTTTTTTACAATCTCAATAAATCATGTGCACTGTCTCAGAACGAGCTGTTCTAAGATTCAGCGCTTTGTGACGTAGACTTGAGCAAGGGGTTTGATTGACAGTGTGGCTGTGGCCTAGACCCCGCCCTCGGTGATCTGTACACATCATCCGCCATTGTTTCAACGACAGCCGGTAATGTCTCTTGGAAACATAATTGTTCTGCCGTGGACTCGTGGGTTAATCCTGTTGTTGTGGCTTAAAAGTTAATCCTCAAGTGTGGATCGTCATCTACTGTTTGCGATCCACCGTCACATCCAGTAACAGTAAGTGTATTTTAAGATTTTTGAGCAAATAGTCTTTTCAGTCGATGTCAGCCAATTCAATAACAAATGCGTCTAAAGTTGTTGTCGTCGTAGGATGTCTGTGTATATAATTTAAACCTTGTTTGTATAGTGTGTAACCACACGTTTATAAATATATATATTTTTAAAGATATTGTATTAAAAACCGCATATATGTTCTTGTTCTGTAAGTTAGCCATCTTCTCACATTTGCCACAGAAGCATCTGTATGACAAGTAAACATGACGCCACAGGTCCCTCGCATAAATGTAATTTCGCTTGTAAGTTACGTAGCAAACTTTATCACAGAATGTGTATGTTATGTTAGTTTTAAAAAAAAATTCGCCAGCGTTTGTGTGTCTGTGTGTGTGTGTTGCTCCACCATACTTGCAAAGAGGACGTGATTACAACGCTAAAGTACATAAATGTATCAAATAACCATACCGAGACATACTGGTCCATTCTCATTTGTGTTTATTCTGCCTGAGTCTCTTCGTGCTATTTATTTATTCCGAATTAAACCTACGCTGAATGACAGACAAAACAGCGCGTCTCTCACTCTCCTCTTCTGCTTAGACCGACTGCCATAGGTATCAAGTTACGCCCTCAGCCAAAGGCAGGGCGGGGATATGCAGCTCATTTGCATTAAAGTGGTATGCCTCAAAACAGCTCATTTTCAAACAGGCCCCAAAATGACATTTTCAAATGGTTATAATAAATTAACTGTGGGGTATTTTGAGCTGAAACTTCACAAATACATTCTGAGACCAATATTACATCTTGTAAAAAGGGGCATAATAGGTGCCCTTTAAATTAAAAGTTTTTATATTTTTTGAAGCCTAATATTTAAAATTAGGGGGGAAATCAATTTCATCGAGACATCAGTAGCTATAATATTAGTGATACTGGCTTTCATTCATAAAAAGATGTAATACTTGAAAATAAATGGTGCCATTTGAAGATAAGTCCATCTGCTTCCCCTGTATCGTACTTGAAATGGTTCAGAATGATTTCGTAGGATGATACCCCCTGAATTTGCATATTAAAGAAGAACATTTTGTATTATTTAGACTTTTAGAGCCCACATTATGGATGTATACAAGAAAATATGTTGTTATATGTTGTTTTTTTTCCTCATTTCAACATGATGCACAAATGAATGATTTAGATTAATACCGTCCTTTCTATGGCATCAATTCGTACACCAGTGTCCATTTCTGAATTGATTATTATTAATTGTTTTTTGATAAAGCTCATATTAAGTACATTAAATCCACAAGAACTCACAAGACACAATGTTTTGTTTGTTTGAAAGGCTGTGTTTGCATGTGCCATCAAGTTTGCATGTGTTTTTCTGCATGCAAACCTAGTCTGAAACAAAACTCTGAATATCTTCACTGCCTCAAACTCAAATTTCAGTGACAACGTCTTCCACGGAGTTGCTCATTGCAGCAGCCGTTGAAAGCGGCGTTTCACCAGGCGTTTTTTTTTTTTTTTTGCACTGATGGGAAATGACAGCATTTGTTTGCAGAATCGCTCCAGGGGAACTGTAAAGTTCCAGTGAAAGGAGTTCCTTCATGTCTTCTGGGTTTCTTTTCCTCCATGGACTCTGAAAAGAACGGAAGGAGGATTTCTGTGGTACTACAAATTAAGCCAAGAGTGAACAGTGTTACTCAGAGCCACAGACAGACAGCTTCCTGTTTCTGGAAGTCCTGTTGGCAGCCTAAAGTCAGCTATATGTTTGAGAGCTTCCTGTGGGCTGGAATCAGCTGTTGTGTTTGTTTAGAGATGGGTCAGAGGTCATTGATAGTGAACTACAGAAACAGCAGCCATTTTTACCAAGTCAAATCTGCACAGAGAGCTTTTTTTTTACAGAGCAGATAGATAGATAGATAGATAGATAGATAGATAGATAGATAGATAGATAGATAGATAGATAGATAGATAGATAGATAGATAGATAGATAGATAGATAGATAGATAGATAGATAGATAGATAGATAGATAGATAGATAGATAGATAGATCGATCGACTCTCATCGATCGATCGACCAGACTGACCAGAAAAAACTTGGTCTAAAATCAGTGGCACGTTGTTCATAATGCTATTTTAAGCGCGCATGCTTGCCCATAATGTAGCGGGTACACAACGCACATACACTGATACTCTCATCAACACAGATGCAGTAGTTTTTATTTTTGCAAATCATACATTATAAAAAGGAAAACACATGAGGGAAATCATTGTGGTTTACATGAAGATGAAAAACCGAATTACCCATTTTTAAGACTAGTTACTGAAGGATCAGACCTGTTTGCCCAATAGTGGCAAGAAACATACGTATAGGCTATAATGTTTAACCGACGCTGATGTGCGAGAGTTTCTCCCATCCCCATACAACGTCACCTCTCTGTCTTTCACTGTCCTGACAAGATCGTCGGTCTCATCGCCGTTATAATAACAATCTGTCATGCAACATGCGCTCCTGTTCTTAAAGGGTATGTTGGATGACGCTCTGATTGGTTTATTTCACGTTACGCCCAAACCACACCTATGAATAATGAAGCTACTTCAGACCAACCTCTTTTAGATTTGCGCCAGGCGCAAGAGGCATTTATCCCGCCGGGGAAATAGCAACAGCGCCGGGACCCGCCCACAAAGTTACTTGCGCCATGCGCTTTGACACTTGCGTTTCAGATTGTTAAAATAGGGCCCATTGTGTTTTGCGGTAGGTTATATGAACCGTTGCCACTGAACCTACTTTAACGAAGACAGCCTTAGTCAAACGGGTTGGCGCATATGGTTGGGTTGCGTAGAGATTGTGAGATAGTGGTTAGGTCACATGTGAACTACGAGGAAGGAGCAAGCCTAGCAGCAGCAGGAGGGATGTAAAGATCAGTAAGCTGGGCTGAGTTGAATGGGGGACGGAGGGGAGATGCCAAAGTCACTGTCGAGTTTTAACATCTACTCTCGTGTAATGGAAATCAATAATGATGGATGGATAGGATAGATGGGTTTATTGTAATTATTTTTTTTTAAGAATTATAAACTATAACGATAAAGATCTAGTTCTAAAAAAATCATTGTGAATCATCTCGTAGCTTATTGGTTTGGATCAAGCCTGAGAATTATTGAAAATAAAAGGAATGATGGGAAAATCCTTCCAAGGCCGAGGCGTCTGTAAACGTAGACGCTCACTGTTGTGCGTTGTGTGTGAGGAACTCAAACCCTCCGGTTAGCTCACACACACACACACACCTCCTCACGCTGATTAGCACACAGGAGACGGTCGCTAGCGTCTCGCTTTACCAGGGGTTAAGAGGCTTGTATTTAAACATGAAAGCAGCGTCTGAGGTGTTCCCGTCTGTCATATAATCAATCAAACTCAAGTGTATTTACCTCACAGGCGGATGGAATTACACCTGCGTCCAAACTGCACCCGCTTCTCCTGAAACCAGATCACGCACGCCGACAGGTTACGCGGATCTGTAAAGACTCATTATGAATGCTTATTTACGCTCTTCATTTGCACTCGGCCCTTTCTTGAAACTTTTTTACATGTACAATAATAACAGAACTTTTAAGACTTTAAAAACATCTGTGCATATGTGATCTAACACTTAGTCACATTAAATCAAAATCGACTTTCTTGCTCATTGTGAACGTCATAAGTGCGTGTTAGTCTAAAGAACAAAAATTAGTTTCTTCAAAATGAGACTTTACATAAGTTAAATCGATTGCAAATGACTAAATAAATGTAAAAAAAAATTAACTGCAATTAGTTTAATACTTAAAGTTGAAGTATTACAATTACTAAAATGGAAATTAAAATGAATAAAATATAAAAATATTAATGAATACTATAAAATACATACATATTTTTATAAACTGCGAGATATGAAGTCCGAATTATGAGATATTAGCTCGAAATTAAATAAAAATCAGAATTGCAAGTTTATATCTCACAATTTATGTACAAGACTTCAGACTTGCAGAATTGCAAAATCTCACAAATGTGAGAGAAAAAAGTCAGAATTGTGAGATAAAAAGTTGCAATTATCTTTTAGATAAAAATGTATTCAGTGGCGGAACCAAGCTTCCATATTAATAGGTGTATTTACCAAAATAATTTAAAGTACTTCTTACTTTTTTTGTTTTGTTTATTAATCATCTTCTTCTGAAGGCAATATTTCTGAAATCATTTAATGCACTTTGTCAAATGTTCGTGAAAACAATAATAAAGAATATAATAGTAGAATAGAATAGAATAATTCTCAAATAACACTGATGTCAATGAGCCAAGGTTTTTCGCTGAATAAAACAAATAAATAAATGTCAACGTTTTGTCTGCTGGATGAGTCATGTAGGGATGCATTGTTTTGTTTAAACATTTCATCAGCAGTTTGTAACTTTGTGTGTGATCCTCATGCAGTTATTCCCGGAGCTGAAGTTTAAATACGTGGAGGAAGAGCAGCCTGAGGATTTCTTCATCCCGTACGTCTGGTCTCTGGTCTTTAACTCTGGAGTCGGCCTGCACTGGAACTCTCAGGGCATCGAGCTGTTCAGCATGGACTCGCCCTGATGGAGGACGCGGGACGTCTGTTCAGGTGTCTGTGTGTGTGTCTGTGTGTGTGTGTGCGCGCTCGTGCAGCTCAAGTGCCTACGTACGGCTCGCGCGTCGTCATATCCAAACCCTGAGCTTCCGTCCTCGTCACACCATTCAAAGGGCAAAACAAACATCCAGACACCCAGCGCCGGATGCACTGGATTCTGGGAATGGTACGATTTGGGGTTTCAGTCACAGGTCTGATGTAGCTAAAACACTTCAGTTGATGGTGATAATCATTTGCTTGTTTTCTTGTTTCTGTTCAGATGTAGGGAAAATGAGTACAACCAAAACCTTTCTTGACTAAAGGTGAACGTTAATAACACTTTGCGAAGATGCTTTGACCCCATTAAGAATGATTATTATTGAGCTGATTATTATGCGCAGCTTCTTCACGTATCACTATATATAGTAAGTTACAAATAAATAATATTTGACCATTTCTGGCTTGCTTTATATGTAAGATGCTTTGCTTTTTTAATATTAATTTATTTATTGCCACTATGTTTTGTTCATCGTACCCATCTCTATAATCGAGCATCTGCACAAAGAAAAACCAAAACCTTTATTTATATACATGTATGTGTGTGTGTGTATACAAACATATACATACACCTAAGAAAGCATATTGAATTTAAGTGATTTTCTAAGCATAATATGAATACAAATATTTAGATACTTGTGTAATAAAATACGCAACTTTCCCATGTAAATGCAGTTTAGTGTATGATTTATGTACATTATAGATTCAGATAATTGCATGTACATTATTGTATAGACAACTACACACCGCATTTGGTGCATTGCTGTTTGTTTCCCCAGTTTTTGTTTTCATATATTTTAGGTAGAGAGATGGACGATCTTTCCCGTCGGATTAAATAATGAATAGACCCGACCGTAGGGCAGATATTTCCCAGCGCCCCGTTACTGGAGATCATTTTAGGTCTTATTACGTCCCTGTTACATTTACGTCACAAACTTAAAGCTTAAAGGGCCCGTATGTTTATGCTATTTTTATTAATTTGTTCGGTTTCCTTTGGGGATCTTTACATGAACATATTTTTTTCTGTTGTTGGGTGATTCTTTTTTTTTTACATTAAATTTTATATTTAATGTTTAATGTGTATGATTATTTCCCCCTGTATCTTGCATAGCATCTGTTTATTTTATTTTTATTTTTTTACATTAGCATATTTATGTAAAAAGTAATGAGAAAGATTATTAAAAAAAAAACTAAAAACAAAGAAAGAATATTACATTTTGGTTTTACTGTAAGTTTAGGTTGTTGGAAATGAATTGAGTGTTTACACATGTAATGAAACTGGATCAGGACTCACTTCTGTTTCAGATAAACCGATGATTTAAAACAACAGCTTGGTTTGCATCGTTGAGAAGTATTGTTTGCATTAGTTATGATTGTTCCAGATTAAGTCTTTCTACAGTGTGAAATACCACCAATAAAAATAACAAATCTCCAGTTATAATTTTGGACATTCTTGTGATTCTTTAAAGCACATGTGATTCATAGGAGATTTTGAAGAGTGTTTTAAAGTGTCTTCGGAGAAAACGAAAGTAAAAGAACCTCGGTCACTCTTGTCTTGTGTGCTTTCCATTACAGAATAAATGAATCATGAAAGGCAAAAATGCCTGTGAATGAAATGCCATCGGTTGCTGAAATGTTTTCCAAGATGCTTCATCCACACATGTCAGTATAATCCTGTACGGGACGGGTCAGTGCAATATGAACAAAACTTTGCTTGATTCAAAGTAATAGATTTTAGTGATTTTTTTGAATAGCTTTCATGCGGTGACTTATGAACTAGCTGCTTGTGAAGGTAAAAAGTCTGCAAAGTTTTAAATATCAACGTTCATGACAAATAAAGTGAATGTCTCCTGAAATAATCGATTCCGAACTGCTGAAATGAATCGTCAGTAATTCCAGTCTCACCCCCTGTTACGTATCTATGTAACAATGTTACAAATGTGCATTATGTCAAGTCATGTACAGTATACTTTGACCTTCAAACACTGGAAGAATTTGGTTCATGTTGTTCATGCTTTTTCAGTGTGGCAAATCCACTTTGATACACTTCAAAAAATTTGCTTCATATATCAATATTTCGTGAAGATACTGGACAAAGAGTGTTTTTGACACCATGCAAGTAAATTTTTTCATCGTAGGTTTTTTTCGGTTCTGATTTGGGTATATACGTTTCCAAATCGAGCTTTATATTGCCTCAATCAACTGTCTTGTTGGCTCAAACATAGCACCGTTTTGAAACATGTCAGCAATTCCTAGCAGCTGTTTGCTAGGCTTAAAATATGTAATACTTATTTAATATGTAATAAAATTGTGAGCGTTTTAAAACAACTACCAGTATGTTTATTTGTTTATTATAAATACTCTGTCTAATCTAAAATGACAGTGAATGATTATAAAAGTCTCGTTTTGTTTTTTTCATTCTAAGTGGCCGTTGCCGTTAAAGCGAGTGGTTTAAGAGATAAAGGCTGACAGGTTTGGCCATGTGGGTTGTGTTGTTCTGCAGGAATGCACAGGAAGACGCCGTTTACTGTAATTACAGCTCGCAGAGAAAGAAAATTTCCATCAGTAACACTGTGTGTTTGTCAAAGCACAGCATTCATACAGTACAGTGTCCGGAGGAGTGTTGTTCAGTTACACCGCATCTCCATAGTCCACTTAAGACATTCTTTTAACTATGAGTAACTTTGCAACTACATGTCGACTAACTCTCATTAGACTATTACTACTAGACTGTTCCGGTTGGAATATGTTGAAATAGTTACTAATAGTCAGTTGAATGTCTAAATAATGTGTTAAAGGTTCACATGTCTTGGTATTTCACCACATTATGCCTTTATTTTGTTCAGTAGTTCACTTTCCTGATCATTTACTCACCGCCACCCATGTTGCTGTCCTTCATTCTTCAGTCGGACAGAAATTAATGTTTTTGAGGAAAACATTTCAATGGGGTCCAATGGGTTTGAAGGTCATTTCTGTTTCAATTCAACCTCAAAGGATCCCAGCCGACGAATGAAAGTCTTATCGAAACCATCGGCCGTTACAAACGGTGAACTTATCCTTTAACTCCACAAACAACACCCATTATTACTGCTAAATGCAAACATCTGATTGTTTATAGTTGTGTTTTTGTGATTTTATGTCATTTGGTTTAATAGCTCACAGTGAGTGTTCCTCTAATTCCCTTGAGAAATGGCAGATGGGCGCTTTTCTTGATACCTGTGAGGTCAGTTCCTGCTGTGTGTTTCAGGTTCAGATGAAGGAGCAGACGCTGGCCGTCATCGCAGTCACAGTGCCCTGCATGTTGTGTTTTGTGTTACATCTGCAAAGATCCTTCAGAACAACAGTAACATCACAGAGAGTGAGTAAATACTGGCCCTGTCCCAGTTGGAGCCCTCGCGACTCCACACACTCATGAAGTAATGCCGCTTTTACTGTCTGTTGGGCAAAAGTGTGTACAGTATCTAGGGCTCATATGAGCGCTCACGAACACCACCTGTTTTATTTTCACAGGCTCTTATTATTTAGAAATTTCATATTTTTGTTTTAAAGAGTATGTGATGTCTGCCGCCGTGTTATTTTAATATTGTTTATATGATATTATATTTTTTACTTCGAAATATATATACAAGTAATGAGAAAGATTATTATCCCTCAATCGGGTCATCGACTTTTACTTAATAAAAAAAAAGGTTTTCTTTCGATTTTGTGACTTTTCATACATTTATCTATCTAAACACACACACAAAAAACTGGGCTTGATTGGGTTGTTCTGAAGGTGTGTAAAAAAACTGTTTACACTTCTGGTCTTCGGGGTCAATATGACCCCACGTTGAAATGAATGGGAAATGTGAAAAAAAAAGCTAAATATATTTTCTTCATGTGTCAAAAAATAAAAATCTGGCATAAATCTGAAAATTTTTACACAGAAATGAAGGCCTAATACTAGAGCATAAATGCAATGTATCATAAAATAAATAATATCTCATATGCTAATGCTAAAGCTAATGGTGTGGGTGAGGAATTGTGTGGTTTATGGATACGAAAGTACTTTATATCTCCAAAAACACAGCATTAATGAATAGATGAGAAGTAAACAAAAAAATGATATATTATTTGTATGATTAAAAATTTATATTTTTTGTACAATTACTCAATCAATTGTTGGGTTCATATTAGACCCCGAAGCCTAGAAGTGGGTAACAGGACACGAAGACCATTTGAAGGTTAATTTTATTTTTTTGAAATCTATTTTTTTTTTTAATAACAACCCTGGTCTGCTATCCCAGATAATTTTTTGCTTTTTTATAATTTTATTGTATTTTCAGATATACGTTTCATAATCAGTTTTTCATTTATTTCAGTTAGTTCAAAAATTGCATCTAATTTTTATAGATTTTTTCAATCAAAAAAGTTATTTTTTTTATATTTAATGTTTAATATGTATCTTGCATTGCATCTGTTTTAATTTATGTCTTTTTTTACATTAGCATATTTATCAAAAAAAAAAATCAAAGATTAAAAAAAAAAACAATTTTTATTTGTTATTTAAGAATTACAACACTATAGTCTGCCGTCCCAGATAATTTTATTGCTATTTTCTTTCATTTTCAGTTCTATGTTTGGTAATCGGTGCACAAATGTCTGGGTATTTCCCGGCACATGCGGCAGAGACAGCAGACAGCAGGTCAGATGTCTGGGTCATCATCACTCTCCAGATCCCGCCCACTCCACCGAGTCCCTGTGACAACTGTCATGCTACTGGCAGCAGCAATGCTGTTAAAGGTACATCATTGCCTGATATATCCTGAGAGCGGAATATCACACAGACACCCCGCCTAGAATAATGTACAATTGCACGTGCACAACATATAAATCCAGTTGACGTCGTTTAGTAACTCAAAATCTCCGTTTTATCTTCCTGTTTTCCCTTCCTCCGCTGATACAGCACCTTTGTGTAAGTGTGAGGATCGCTGACCCTTCGGTGTCGTAAGCACTCGAGTGGACAACCCAAAGTTTTACAGAGCAATTCAATGTCATATAAGACTCGTAAAGCTGAGGTCTAGAGTTCAACTGACAGTCATAAAGCAGTTCAAGGGTTTTACAATAGCATCCATTGAGAGATGCAGGCATATGGCGTCCCATCTGGGGTGACGAGAGGGGGCTTGATTCTTTCACGGGAGACGGTTTGTGTCGAACTGCAGACAAGACACCTCCGACCGCGCGCACTTCCCTGCTGTTGAGTTTCCTTTCACGTTAACTGCGTGTCAGTCCGGCCATCAAGCCTCTTTACTGTTTGGTAAATGATTTTTCTGCTCTCATTCCATCCGTTTGGCTGTAAGTTGAGTATATAGCCTCTGTTCTGTGGGTATAGGGGTCCTGTCGGCCCTTATAGAGACTCCATTAGCCGTGTTTTCGTGCAGCTTGTGTTGTTCTGAAGCTTCTATACGGCTGGGTAATTATATGAGGTAATTACATACAATCTCAGAGACTGAACACATGAAAGTGCGGCTGGGATTTTGAAGAAACATGCCGGCGTTTACACTGATAGAGCTGAAGACCAGCACTGACCACTGTTATTTATATACTGTCTGATATATTATTTATTCAGATTTTATTTCGTTATTTTTCAGTGTTTTTTAGTTTTATTTAAAGCTGTAGGCAATTATTTTATCCCTTAAAGGAGTAGTTCACTTTAAAAAAAACTTTTGCTGATAATTTACCCAAGATGTCCACGTCTTTCTTTCTTCAGTCAAAAAGAAATTAAGGTTTTTGATGAAAACATTCCAGGATTTTTCTCTATATAATGGACTTCATTGGGAACCAAACGGTTCAAGGTCCAAATGAGAGTTTCAGTGCAGTTTCAAAGGGCTTTAAACGACACCAGACGATGAATAAGGGTGTTATCTAGTGAAACGATCGCTCATTTAAAAAGTAAATAAAAAAGTTTAAGTTTTATATGCACAAATGGTCGCCTTGCTCTGTTCTGTGATGAGCGTTTGTGACTTTCCTGTTCGAACTTGTCCATCAAAATAAACAAATCTTTTTTCGAGTCTTGACTCGAAAGGTCCTTGATAAGTCCCTTATTCATCGTCTGGAATCGTTTAAAGCCCTTCGAACATTTTGCACTGAAACTGTCTTTTGGACCTTGAACCATTTGGTTCCCATTGAAGTGCATTATATGGAGAAAATCCTGGAATGTTTTCATCAAAAACCTTAATTTCTTTTCGACTGAAGAAAGAAAGACGTGGACATCTTGGATGACATGGGGGTGAGTAAATTATCAGCAAAAGTTTTAAAGTTTAAAAAGTGAACTACTCCTTTAAAACTCATCTTTAATCACTGAAATTACATATTTAAACATTTTTTTCCTTGAAATTTTTTTGTCATGCGTTAAAATAGCTTGCATGTAACTCTACACCCTTGCCTCATTTATTATACGAGGTTTGATGAATATGCAAATGAGCCCTGCCTCCACTCACTCACTCAGGTCAGAGATCCACTCGTTGATGATCACACGTTGACCTGATTGGTTACAAGGTAGTTTGTGACGTCAGAAACACCAGCGATTTCAAACCGTGTTTTTGAGACGTTTCACTGCAGTTTTAAGGAGAAAATATTCAGCTATGCTGTTGACTTATGAATTTACACACGGTTTGTCTTAAAACATATTATAAACACCACACAGACATAAAAAACATATTAAAACTTAATTTTCACCACAGCAGAACTAATAATAATAACACTGGTTCTGCCCATGTCTGGTAAACAGCAGATCGTACATGCTGATTGGAGGAAGAGATAGATAGATAGATAGATAGATAGATAGATAGATAGATAGATAGATAGATAGATAGATAGATAGATAGATAGATAGATAGGTAGATAGGTAGATAGGTAGATAGGTAGATAGGTAGATAGGTAGATGGATAGATGGATATATAGATAGAATAAATAGATGGATGGATGGATGGATGGATGGATGGATGGATGGAGAGACAGACAGTCTGCATTCTCTGTCTCTGTCTGCTTTGGTTCTGCTCTCGGCATGACCTTTGACCTCATCAATAGGGTCAGCTTCCTGTGGTCTGTTGTTTGTGCTTCTGGCAGTCGATTGATCAGCTTCAGTGTGAAAAGGCAGGAATTCTCTGAAATGCACAGAGCCAGACGTTTGTTCAGATGTCCAGTAGAACGAGTCTAATTAAATGAGCTTGACCCGATGCGAACACACGCTAGAACTGCAGAACATTCAGTTCATACGCGTTAAGATTTCCTCTTCTTATGAACGTGTTTTTACTCTCCAGAAAGATGGATCAGAATATGAGGGCATAAACAGCAGCTCATTTACTGACCTGAGATCTGAGTTTCTCCAGGGTTTGATGTTTCCCAAACTAAAACATAACCGACATAGGGCTTTTGTTAGACGACATTTGAACTAAATAAAAATAAAAAAGAGAATAAATACATCAATAATTCATGATAAATTAAGGAAATAAACAAGTAGAAAAATAAACTAATAATTTAAATTATATATTTAAATAAGAATGTGAATTAATTAAGAATGAAAAGGATATAATAAATAATTATTTATAATAATAAACATTATTTATTTACATATATTTAGAAAAGTCATAAAATCAATACACACAGGAAAAAATGTGTTAATTAACAAAATAATTGTATTACATTATTATTCAAATTATAACTATTTAAATAAACTAAACAACTAGCCTACATGTTTTGTTAAATTATTTAAAAGAAAGAATGAATGAATGAATCTCAGTCTCAATTTATTTCCAAAGTGAAAAAAAAGACTAGTGTTCTTTTTGAGTGAATGGATGACAGCAGCAGATCTTCATGAGCTGATTTCAGAGCTCGCGGCGCCATCATTATCTCTCTCTCTCCCTGGAATGACGTGCTAGTGAAGTCTGGAGCAGTTTTTATTAAGTCATTGTGTCGCCTATTTTATTTGTTAAATCATTACTGCATCTGCGGAATGTTCAGCTATACTGACGTCACAGCAGCATCATTAAAGTGCTCGTCGAGGCCACGCAGATCCGCGCGCCATTGATTGCGTCACCCACGCGGCCAGAACGCCGGTGTCCGCGCGCAGCCCGTCTGTCATCCTGTAGTCGCCTGGCGCGCGCCATTGTGTCCTTCATTGATCAGAGGGCGTGACCGCAACAACTACACAGACAAAAAAAATCCCGCGAAATTGTTTAGTGTTTGAAACGAACGTCCAGTTAATGACGGAGAACATGAATGAGATTGAAGCGCCCCGGTGTGAGAACAGTGACGCACTGATGCCGCAAAACTCACCGCACACACTCAAATATAGCTTTACCATCACTAACGTGTTTGTGTTTGAGAGAGAGAGAGAGAGAGAGAGAGAGAGAGAGAGAGAGAGAGAGAGAGAGAGAGAGAGAGAGAGAGAGAGAGAGAGTAGCCTTTTTGTGGGAGAGAGTCGAGAGTGTGTTGAGAGAAAGAGTGTGTGTTTGAGAGATTGTGTGTTTGTAAGAGATTGTGTGTGTGTGTGTGTGTGTGTGTGTGCGTGTGTGTGTGCGTGTTTGAGAGAGATTGTGTGTGTGCGTGTGTGTGCGTGTTTGAGAGAGAGAGAGTGTGTGTGTGATTGAAATAGTTGTGATATATTTCTCACCACTAGGCGGCAGCAGTTTATGTGTCCTCATTTACAGACACGAACATGTTCACCCATTCACAAACACAGCCAATATAATAATTATTAATAAATAATTATCTAATTATATATATATAGGCCTATATATATGTGTGTGTGTGTGTATGTGTGTGTATTTTTATTTGTATTATTTAATAATAACAATTGTTAAATTAAAAAAATATTGCATCATTTAAAATATACAAATAAATATAGTATTAATAATAAGTATTGTTTTAATATTTTAACTATTTTATTCCAACTTCTAAATAATATATCACATTTATTATACAAATATGTATATAATGTATATATGCAGTACATTCGTATGCAGATTGCACAACTAAATAAATGTGTACCCATCTAAACATGATTGCATCATACGTATTTGTGTTTGTGTGTTTTCTCTGTGTGTGTCTGTGTGGTTCATTCTTAATCTGAATTTTACCTGTGCGTCTGGCGCCGTCGTGTGTGTGTGTGTGTGTGTGTGTGTGTGTGTGTGTTCCCTTGCCTCAAATTAGATGTCATTGCACTACAACACAAGCAGCAGAAACACAAGATTCTGATTTCATCTGTTACACTGTAACTTTATAAACTCTGCGTGTCTGTCTGATGCTACATGTTACTTTGTTTTATGTTTGCGCAACCCAATCACTTTTTCCTGCCTGTTCTTTTTTTTTTTTTTTTTTTTTTTTTTTTTTTTTTTAAAGCGACAGGGTGTCTAGACAATCACGTGACCCTCGACGCGCCAATGAGAGACACGGAGAACACACACACACACACACGCTGAGAGAGAGAGACACACACACACACACGGGCGTCTGATCTTCATCTCAGTCTCAGTCCTTCAGTTCTTCATCGACTCTCTCGCGTCTCGGACTCGGAAACTTGTGATCGTGGGATCATCTGAAGACGGATATGTTGTGGATATTTCGCGCGTTATAATATTTCACAGTTGCGAATCATCGTCGAGAGATTTCGCCTCGTCTGGGTCTGATGTGGATTTATATAGGCTTGGTGTCAGATTGATCCGAGCTGCAGATTTGATGTCAAACGAATCGCAAGAATATTCATCCCGAATATGAGATCCCGAGCGATCGCTGTGGATTAAGACCGAACTTCTTTAAGATTGAGATCTGAGATCGTTTCCAGCTGCCCAGACAGTCGTTTCAGCTTCTTTCTTTTCATTTCTTTTCTTTTTCTTTTTGGATTCTGTGTCGGTACGTCTGGTGAAATATTAAAGTCTGGCGTATGAAACAGATCGCGTGCGCTTCTCCTGCTCGCCGTTTCTCCGTCGTCTGCTCTGCGCCTGTGGATTCGGACCTCCGGATCTTCATGACTTGCGGACAAAATGGCCGTTTTGTAGCCGGGGAACCCTCTTGTCGTCCCGCATGTTCAGGACCAAACGATCGGGGCTCGTCCGGCGACTCTGGAGGAGCCGAGCGCCCGTGGAGGGGGACGGGGACGCCGGTACGCGCGGTGTCGGGACCCCGGGCTGCTGCCTCGGAAAACCGGGAGCCGGTAAGCCGAACCCCGGCACCGAGGCCGAACTGAAAGCGTTGACATACTCGATCCTGAAGAAGATCAAGGAGAAGCAGCTGGAGGTGCTCTTACAGGCGGTCGAGTCCCGGGGGGGTGCGCGGAGCCCCTGCCTCCTCCTCCCCGGGAAAGTGGACTCCAGGCTCGGGCAACAGTCGTACCCGCTCCCGCTGCTGCTCTATAAGGTGTTCCGGTGGCCGGACCTCCGGCATTCCTCGGAATTAAAGAGACTTTCGTGCTGTGAATCCTATGGGAAAATCAACCCGGAGCTCGTGTGCTGCAACCCGCATCATATGAGCAGACTGTGCGAGCTCGGTGAGAACATCTCTCCTGTTTCGCGTCTTGTTGATGAATAATGTGCTAAATCAGCGGGCTTTCGGTCATATATGTTCTTGAAAAACAAAGAGGGTTATTTTGGCTCTTCAGTGGAGAAGAAATATAGTGCTTATGTAGGACTATAATAACATGCATATGACTGTGGGGTTTTGTGCTACGTAATTACAGTTTATTTAGAATCAGTTTACAATAGAATTGAGTAGAATAGGATTTGGTTGTTGGAAATGTCTAAAATAGTGCTTATCCAGTACTATCTTAACACTCATGGTAGGTTTTTGTTTATATATATATATATATATATGTTTATATACAGTTATGTGGAAGAAGAGTAAAGAGAATAAACTATCTGCTTCGATATGTCTAATATTAATTTAATACTATAAAAATACTCTTATAGTAAAACAATGAGACTCTGCGGTATAGTTCAGGCTTGTGTATAAAGATGAACCTTAATTTAAGAATCTTAAGAAAAATATTTGACACCCTGTTTTTGTAATATTATTATCCACATTCATGTCATTCATTTTTCAGTAACTAGTCCTGTTTTTCACTTAACCAACAGTTTCATTCTTGGTATCAAGAATATTATAATTCTTATAATATTATAATTCATTTTCTGATCATTATTATTCTTATCCAGTGAGGAATGTTATTTTAATGTGTATAAATGCAGCAGAGTTTTCAGCTGGACATCTAGTCTGTGGTTGTTCATGTGAAACCCGCCGGAGGCCCCAGTGTTCAGTGAAGTTAGTTTGCAGTGATCAGTGTGTGTGTGCGTGTGTGTGTGTGTGTGTGTGTGTGTGGAGTCTGGCGCCAGGCGGCCGTGTGTTTATCAGAGCTGTCCTGCCTCTAACCCTCAGCTCTACACAAACACTTTTCCCAGAGAATGCCAGGCCTTATCATCAGCCCACATCTCCACTCACGGCCTCTCTCTCTCTCTCTCTCTCTTTCTCCAGAATCCCCCCCACCCCCGTACTCAAGATATCCCACCGACTTTCTTAAACCACCTGGTAAGTTGAAGTTTCGTCTTAAATTTAAGCAGATGTGGAGCCTTTCAAAAGTTTAGTTTGAGGTGAAAATCAGACATTTACAATGATAATCTTTCCACAATCCCAATGACTTTCCGTTACACTTTATTTTAAGGTGTCCACAATTACACATCTAAGCACGGAGAAATATGAGTTAACTACATTTACTTACTAAAGGGTTAGGATAAGGTTTGTTGTAGCCGGGCCCGGGTTAGTTGCATGTAATTATGCGTAATTTATAGTTATTACGACATGTAACATGGACAGTAAAATAAAGTGTTACCTGATTTTCCTAAACCACCATGTAAGTTTCCTTTCAAATGTATGCATATGTGGAGTTTTTCAAAACTTTGGACATTGTTCTTACCGTGTAAATAACATGGTACATGATTATGACTCATTCACCAGTACTAGTTTGGTTGGCTGTTGAGACATGGTAATAATGTGGCATGTGAAGATGGTAAGATATAAGTATATCTACCATTGTACTGAATGCTTACCATGGTTCTAGTGCTCATTAGTAAAAGTTTATCAGGTTTTCTGGAGCATGTAAATACCACGCCGGTATATGAATATGCTAATGACTCAGTGTGTGATAGACACATTATGATGTTGGGAAACGTGGATCACATAGAGGAAAAGCTGAGAGCTGATTTATCTGCCGAATTAATCTGAGGTTTTGGGAGTGTCGCTTTGCGTCTTTCCTCTGAGCGTTCGCTTTCTCTCTCTCTACCCATAATGCCGTATGGCTCTCATAAGTATGTCCTGTATATTGGCTTCAGATAAGTGTGTTGTGTTTGGCAGCGCCCCGGATGAGGTTTCCTGCCGATCGCCCTCGTAAAGATCCTTCTCTATTCCTGCCAAAACTGCTCATGCCGCTGGAGTTAAACAGTATCACTTGCGCAGGACACACTTGAGAAACTCAGCTTCGAGTGCCTGTTTCAAAACCGTGTTTCTGCGACAAATTTTAGCCCGGATTCAGGCGCCTCAATGTTTATAGTACGAATAACAAAGATGATGTTCTGAGTGTGTGGGAACGACGGTACGCTGACTGACATTGGCTCACGCTCTTTGAGTCATTCTTCTTTTATGAATCAGTTTGGGGTTTCGGAGCGACTGAGAGAGAAAGCAAGAATGTGAACGAGAAAAGGCGCCGCGGTGGAGGACAGGAAAGCCAGTTTGGGGAGGACGTTTCCTGTGAGGACACACACACTTCCATTAGTTGCGTTGGGCTCTTGGACGAGAGACAGAGAACAATAGAAGACGGCTGGTTCTCCTGCCACTGAAAGAGAGAGTGGCACTGAACGATGGGAGGAAGTTATTGGTGGCTTGTTGGACTGCGTCTGGTTGATAACGTCAGGATCTGACACACACACACGTCTCTGTCGCGGTGGTATCTGTCACACGTTCACACGCTGGTGACGAGGAGGTGTGACGAAACGGCCGTTGATGCAAGCGAATTTGCATGTCAATTGTTTTAAGCTCTTAATCACAGAGACACAAAAGAAGAAAAAGAAACACAAACATTTAGGGTGATTATGAATGACAAAGACAACAAAGTTTCGGCAAGAACTATGGAAATGTCGTTAGCTTAACGCCGATGTTTTTGTGTGGCCACGTCACGGGACCCGTTTAAGTGCGCTTTGAATCCGTGACCTCTGAAGGTGGCTTTAATGTCATTATTTTGTGAAACGAGAAGATCAGGAAGAGCTTCTGATGGACCGCAGAGCTTCTCCCATCAGAGCGTGTTTGAAGCTGTTGCTCGATCCCACAACTCTCTCTCTCTCTCTGCGGTCAGGTTCAGGTTTAGGTTTGACTGTGTCTCATTAGACTGACCACAGCTCAGGGAATGTGTCCAACTCCGAAAGTTGCTTCCGAGTCATTATCCTTACTGAAGTGCTGAATGATAACCATATTCATTTACTATGGATATATATCAATGGTACATTTCAAGAATACCAGGATGCCACCATGTTCTCCCTCCCTATGGAGGATCCCTATTCCACTCATTGTGGAAATTAGGGTTCGCGTACCAACCCTGAAGTGATAAAATAGAATAAAAGGATGTATCAACGTTTATAGGCAAGACAAGTAGGTTGTTTGGGCATGGAATTGCATTTATACAAACGCACATAATATAGAATCAATTCTTAATGCGAACGCCATCGGCGTCTGTTAATAACAATTTACCGGTAATAAAAAATGATCATTTTCAAACCTAATATTAGCTGTAAAATAACATTATTCAAGGTCCGCTATAAAACCAAACCAATCTCTGTTACTTTAAATGATATTAAAGAACACTGTGTAACTCTTAGTTTATTCTTAGCTAAAAACACTTAGTTTTTTCAAAAATATATGTGCTCATTAATGTATATTTACTTCGTTCTAGTAATAAAGTATTCTCGTGAGAGTATAATATGCCATTGAAAATACATACGGGTAAGGGCTTCTAATGTCGGTCGCCATGTTGCCCCTCCATCTTGAAAGTGCATTAACCAAAGAGGGACATAGCCGTTAATTTAAGCTTCGCCTTTCGCGTTTACGTTTGAGTTAACACTCATGGACGAGGTCGAACTGGAAGCCATGTTAATCTTGGACTACATTGGCCACCGTAGGAGTTCAAACAAAATCGGAATTGAGAGGAACAGAAACTAATATTCACCGGATGGTCATATACCTTTTCACCGCTAGATGAGGGTAAAAATCACACAGTGTAACTTTAAGTATATCTACAGCAATCTACTTTGAGCAATCTACATTGTTAAAAGCGCTATATAAATGAGGATGACTTGATGTGTTACATGCCTAAAAACCACAGTTACACAACGACATGTCTTATATGTCAGGGATTCCCTGGCCTTTTTTGTCAGTTGAACTGTGACCTTTGAAAATGTACTTTAATTCCCCCCGAGATTTGAAGTTAAAGTATGTTTATGCTTCTCTGTTGTCGGTTAAGGGTCACTTGAAGGTAAACAAATACAAATATTTCAAGTGTTTAACTTTAAATTTGATGAGAAGTCTTGTTAAATATAGCAATACAGGCTAATGCTAACGGTAGCTTGTGGTGTTCTTTTTAAAACCCAAACTACACGCGTGGGTTTTAAAAAACACCTCACAGATGAACATTAGCATTAGCCTATACTTTTAGCTATTGTTGTTAGCATAAACTGGGTGTTAGCTAAACTGCTACCAATCAGATCTATCTTTGTATTCAGCTTTCATTGTGAGTGACATACCTTCTCCTGTTGTTTGATCATAGTAACTTAAGGAAACTGAACATATGGAGACAATATTCCAGGCTCGTCTTATTAAAGGGTTAATGTGAAAACTGAAAAGTGTGTGTTTTCCTGTCTGCTCGCACCGCAATTAGAACATTTACTGTACAAAGTTCTCAAGGCCGCTGCTATTTCCTGACTAGCTCGTTGTGTTGGACTTGATGGAGTGTATCCTGCTAAACGCTGTATTCCCATTACTAACCACCGCTAGCTTTCCTGGCAAAGACTTTAAACTAAGAATCGCTTTATTTATTTTGCAAGACAGACAAGTATAAGGAATGGGAAACGAATGGCCGTTGGTTTCAAACTATTTTAGCCAAAATGAGGCCAATCTGTGTTTGTGCGGGTCTTTGATGCCTGTGATTGACAGCTGTCACTCTTGTTTCTCCACAGATTCTCCAGGTTCTGTGCCTGCTTCCACTGAAACTGGGGGAACGGCATATTCGGCCCCTATGGGGTTCTCAGGTGAGAGCTCATCCTTATCTGTGTCTTCTGTGCGGATGTGAGCCGAGTTTCTGCTTATATTGTTTACTATGTGCGAAAGTCAACATGAAGTATAAATTCATCATATTTACTTTCTTAATGCTCATTCCTGAAGTCTAGTGGATGATGTGATTGTTTACCGATCAAAATCCATCAAATCTGATCAGAAAATATCACAGAAGTGAAATGCAACATGCATGGTTATTTATTTTAGAATTATTTATAGTATTTATGAATTTATTATGATTTTGAATTATTTATAGTAGGTTTTTTTGTACTCATTTTATTTAGTTTACATTTTTTAAGTTTAAGTGAATGTAAAATCATTTATTTCAGTTATTTGCCAAGGCAAAATTTCTAGTTTTCATTAAAAAAAAAAAAAAAATTATTTCGTCTTTATTTTAATGAACAAAAGTTTAAGTTACATTGAACAACACTGGTTTCATGTTGAATTTAAAATGTAAACAAGGGTACAGTTTGTGTGTGTGTGTGTGTGTGTGATCTGCTCTTCTTTAGTAGGCCGATGTATTGTCACGTCCTTAGCTCTGAATCCAAACAAACTGCAGTGGTTGTGTTTACGAGAGACCCTGAGAGAGCGAGAGGAGGATTAGTTTGGTCTAGGCCGGGTTTCTGACTACAGATGTTTCTCATTACAGCGACTTTAAAGAGTTTTTATGATGGTGTTTAATTCAGCGCTGGGCGGAGTGAGTGTGTGTGTGTGTGTGTGTGAAGGGTCTTTAGATGGGTTTTCAGATAAGAAGAGCAAAATGATGGAAGCTTTACATAAACACATGCTAAAGTACAGCACTCAGAGCGGTGTGCGTGCCATGAATGTGTATGTGTGTGAGCAGCTCCCTTTCTCTGGCCTCCAGTGTGAAGGTGCCCCGGCATTTGTTTTATGCTTCTTGTTTGTGTGTGTGTGTGGGATGAAAGACCGAGCGTTTCTGTCCCGAGCAAACACCTTCTCCCGGCTGCATTAGATTTCTGACCGTGAGTCTGACTTTCGTTCATCCTATCGCTGAGGTGTGTTTTTCCTGCTGGAATGAGTGAATGGAGCTCAGAGAGGGAAGGAGGGATGAGGGGGGAGGAAGAAAAGTTTCAGGCAGCGGAAGAAAAGCCCGACACACAGGAAACACACTCCCAATGAAAGCGTCTCTCTGACCTTCTAATTCACTCGCTCTGCCCTTTTCATCTGCTGCTTCAGGCATGAGACGGGTAGAGATCTGTGTGTGTGCGTGTGTGTACCTACTTAACTATATTTTGGAGTGACAGAAGTGACAAATTTCATTTGTAAATCTGGTTTAACAATATTAAAGGTTTTTTTAAAAAATGCGGAAAGTTTCTGTGATAGATAAGGGTTAGTGTAAGGGGAGGGAATATAGAGTGTGTACAGTATAAAAACGATTATGTATATGAAATGTCCCCATTTAAATAGCTGAGTAAAAAACGTGTGTGTGTGTGTGTGTGTTTAGGATTATTCATTGAGTGTCTGAGCATTGCTTGTCTGGGTTAGTCTGAAGTTAATAGAGTTAACCTTAAAATGACAACAATAGCAAATGAGTTAAGAAGGTTTTCTGAACTCATTTGTTGGCATTAGTTGATGCATTATTAAACATCAACTGTATAATTTTATAGCATTTTTTAAATCTTTGTTAATGTTAATAAAAATACGTAAAATTAGTTAACTAATGAAGACAACCAACGTTTGTATTGGCATTAACATTACAGTGTTTATTTGTATGCTTTATTTCAATATTTGTTTATATTTAATTTATTGGCCAAGCCCAAAAAATTTATATATATATATATTAGAGCTGTGAAATGATTAATCGCGATTAATCGCATCCAGAATAAAAGTTTGTGTTTACAAAATATATGTGTGTGTAGTGTGTATAATTATTTTGTACATATAAATACACACACATGCATGCATATATTTAAGAAATATTTGCATGTATATACTTTATATATATTTATACAAAATTAGTATTATACATAATATATATATATATAAATTCATATAAATATTTGATACATTAATTACACATTTTTCTTAAATATTTACAAGCATTTGTGTTTTTTTTAATATACAAAATAATTATTCACACTACACACACATATATTATGTAAACACAAACTTTTATTTGGATGTGATTAATCGTTTCACAGCCCTGAAATATATATATATATATATATATATATATATATATAAATTTTAAATGATTTTTATTTGCACCATCAAAAGTAGTTTTGCATCTGTCTTAAAATCCACCAATCTGACATCTTTTTATGTAAAATTATCCACATATTTTTGAGTAACTTTAGCTGAAAAGCTGAATTTATTTAAGGTGTAGATCTCTTCTAAACATCTGAAAATTAGATGAAAATTAGTCTTGTGTAACACATTTGTTGTGCAATGTCCCTGTCAAATAAACAAATAATCTGCATAAAATCAGCCGTTAGCCACTATTTTCTCTTCACGCCGTCCGTCGTATGAATGTGGTTTCGGGAACGGGTAAAGTTGAGCGCGCAACTGATTTCCTCAGAGCGTCTTTGCTTCCGATCTGGACGAAAATGACCCTATTTTGTAAGTGTGTGTTGCACCTCACCCGCTTTAAGCTGTTCTTGAAACCAGATCCACAATCAGGCCTTTATAAAGGTCCCGTGAATGACTGCAGGGCCCTCGGCGTCCCTAATCCCCCCCTTTAGGGGCCTTGTTACCGTGACAACCTCCCGCCTCATTCCAGGGTTGTTTGGGTTAGCCGAGGAGGAAAGGGCAGCACAGGAAATGACATCATTCCTCGGAGGAAAAAGCCTTGAGTCTCGAGTCGGGCCTCCCGGGCGCCTCCGCCAAGCGGAAAGAAAACATTTGGGGAAAATGACACAAAGCAGTTCCTTGAGCGTCCAGAGCTGCTCCGTTTGACGGCATGTTTTGAACTGTGAAGGCTTTGTTGTACGTTTCGCTCGTTACCGACCGCTTCCTCAATCAAGCGGGACGTTCGGCTTAATTTGACATCGGCTCTTCGTGCTGGAAGACTTTTGTCACTCACACACACACAAACGCCCTCAGGATCCAGACACCTCAGACACAAACATTTCCTTAAACCGCAATCTAATCACTTAACTAAACACACAGAGCGGCGGGACTCTTTCTCACGCACACACACGATCCGTTCATTCAGAAACTTTCGGCTCCGGTCTGACTGGAATTGAACAATTGAAATGCACATTATAATTATTTACCGTCCAAACAGGAAAGCACATCAACACTGGTGACTCCTCTCAACAGGCTCCACCAGTTCTGTAATAATATTTTAAAATGCTATATTATATGATATAATATAGTCGTGGCTTTTTATTGGTGGAGAGGCTTACGCCTCTGACCTTTGACCTCACAATCAACATGATTTCATAAATGGTTTCCTTTGCCCCGACACTCCCACAGCGAGTGTACAGTATACAACCTGTGCGTCATAAAATCTAAGAGGTCTGATCCACGTATTCGTGCACAATGGAGGACAACATGAAGTATTTCCTGTGCGTTGCAGGCTTTCCTGACTCTGTGTGTGTGTGTGTGTGTGTGTTATGTAATGGCTCTCCCCATCTAATTGCCAGTTTCCTTTATTGACTTCCAAACAAAGAAGCTGCCAAACATTTGTGTCCGTCCGTCTGTCCGTCTGCGTGTCTCTCGGTCGAGCGTGTGTGTGAGATTGTTGCTATAATACACACGCCCGAGGAAAAAGATAATATTTATAGAGCTGTAACTGACACACACACATCAGAGAAGCTGCCTCTGGGTTTGTTTGTTTAGTTGGAATTTTGCATGACGAATCCTAAACGTCTGCCAGTTGTGTTTGATCATTTTCTAGGGCCTGACACGAACTCTGCTCAAGTACGTGAACGCAAACACTGGTTCGACTAGTTACTTTACCACTAGAGGCGCTATAGAGTAAACGGCCTTCTTCCATAGTTATATAAATGTTATGTTATAAATATGAATTGTACGTTTACAGTTGTACTGCTTTGTTTGATATTTTAATACGTTATAATAATAATCATACAAATACCAAATTATTTGTTTCTTCGATGCTTTTTTACAGTGAATTTTTAATATATTTATCTAGTAATAATAATAGTTATAAGATTAATATTTATTTTTTATTCTTAAATGCTAAATTGTTTTATTTTACAATAAAACGTTACAATAGTAATGTTTCTTCTAATATTTATTGTAAATAAATTAATATATTAAGCAATATTATTATTTTTGTATAGTCATAGTCGTATAGGCATAATTTTGCTCCCGTGTTTGTGGCGTCTGAAGACAGAGTTGGCATAACCCATGTTGAATGTCACTGCGTGTTGCCGTCATCATTGGTTTAGCTTCAGAAGCGGCCCCTGACCTCTGACCCCTGACCTCACTCAACCCGCGTGCGCCGTCAAGAGAAGAGCGCTGACTGCTCGTAAAACAGTGAACCTCAACCAGACGAGAGCAGATCAATAAAAACACAGACTTCCCTCCAGTGTGTGTGTGTGTGTGGAGACAGACAGAAATAATCATTAACTTCTCCAGACTGCTGAGTGACTCGCGTCGGTGTGTGTGTGTGTGTGTGTGTGTGATTCCATTAGATGTCCAGACACCTCTGTGCTGTTTTGTGTTCGTTTCTTGTACAAAGTGACTGTTTAAAAAGCTGAGTCTCCTTAAATGGAAAAACTTTGCCCCGACATATGCCGAAAACACCAGTGTGTGTGTGTGTGTGTGTGTGAGAGAGAGAGCGCTCAGACCAAAGGGAGCCAGTGTGGACAGAGGAAGGATGGTTTGTTACCTGAGGCAGTAAAGCTCTAAATGGAGATTTGACTTCAGCTCAACCACAAACAAAGACCATGAGTGTGTGTGTGTGTGTGTGTGAAGAGTCTTTTTGTCTCCTCTAGGAGAGAGAGAAAGACAGAACAAAACTGCTTGGGGGATGGGGGAGAGAGAGAGAGAGAGAGAGAGAGAGGTTTATGGGTCCCTATAAAATCCGTTTTATTTTTTCCCAAATGAAACAAACAAATGAAATGTTTTCTGTTTTAATGTAATGTAACAATTCATTTACAATGAAACATTGCATTTTTATTTTTACCAAATAAAGTGCTGTACTTTAGAGTATAAATTAATGAATAAATGAAGTATGATAATCCTTAAAATAGTCATCAAAATCAAATAACAGTAATCTAAAGTGAGATTTTAGTAGCAATAATTGTTATTATTGTCGCCTACTACTTTGAGAAGTAAATTTTACAGTGCTATAATATATTTGTATCATAATTTCTTCAATTTAAGGGACTACTTTTGATTTATTGATCTAAAATTTGCCCAATTCCTTGATATTCAGAAATGTCCATTATTATGACTGGATTCCATGATTCATTAGAAATCATAAGGCCCGTGTTGAGAGCGATTGGTTCTAATAGAGTTCAGGATGTCAAACGAACGCTCGAGGCTGCAGAAGACATGAGGTGTGTGTGTGTGTGTGTGTGTGTGTCATGTTGCACACTCTATTTCAGGACGCTCTCTGCGTCTGGCTGTCACCATGTCATTCGGGGTGACACTGTGGTCATCCAACCGACACTGAGACGCCACACACACACGGCAGTAAATTCACACACCTCCATTCACACACACACACACACACACACACACATACCTGTGCAGTTGTGTCTCTATTTGATTAAACACATTGAACACATCTGAACACACACACACTTAGAGGTCTGTTCGATATATGATTTGCGTTCGTGTGTGTTACTTAGGTTTGCTTGCTGTATATGATGTCGTCAAAGAGACTAGTCAACTATCCAGACTAAAATAGCCTCAGTCTGACACATAGCAAGCATGTTATTGGTGTGATACTGCATAGTGGCGTCAGTAAGATTTTTACAAATATTTCTGAAAGAGTCTTTTATGCTCACCTAAAAAAATAGTAAAAAAACAGCAATATTGTGAAATATTATTACAATATAAAATAACTGTTTTCGATTTGAATATATTGTAAAATGTAATTTAGTATACTATAGTTTATGAATTTCAGTAATCACTACACCATGGTAATGCCATGGTATATTTAAAGGGATACTCCTCTAGGCTCATTTTACAACTCCCCTAGAGTTAATAGTTGAGTTTTACCGTTTTTCGAATCCATTCAGCCGATTTTCGGATATCTAGAAGAATATCAGTAACCAGACAGTTTCTGGTCTCATTGACTTCCATTGAATTCCATATTATATATTTTTTCCTACTATGGAAGTCAATGAGACTAGAAACTGTCTTGTTACTGATATTCTTCTAAATATCCGAAAATTGTCTGAATGGATTCGAAAACGGTAAAACTCAACTGTTTAACTCTAGGGGAGTTGTAAAATGAGCCTATTTCCAAAAAAAAGTGGAGTATCCCTTTAAGGCATATCCATATTTCATGGTGCAAAAGTACCGTAGTCCAGTAATACTATGTTATTTTGATATATACCACGATACTGTTTGATTACTGTATTCATATACCATGCTACCTAAATGGCACTGTAAGCTCTTCGAAGTGTATAATTGGTATTCCCTTGGTAACATATCCAAACATGCATGTTTGTAAGGGTTGTAATGAAGGCTCTACCTAGTCTAGTCATCAAGTTAGTCTGGGCTGGTGCGTAATTAACTACACTGCTAAATTACGGCCTACTCACCCCATCTGAGATTAAAGAGAGACTGTAGACAGACAAATAGTCCGGATGACTCAAGAACTGACCTCTTTAACATGGTGTGCTACTAACCAGATGTCAGCTCAGATTTCTCTCTCTTCGCTGGAAGCATTCACATTGCACCAATAATCAAAATGTGATGTTTAATGTTTAATAAATGGGGAAGGAAATGGACCAATGAGATTTCCTGTAGGCGTGGCTAAGTCCTCATTGCTTTATTACATCACATATTGGTTGGCGAGGGCGAGCACGATTGCAGATTTATTGTCGCATTGACGTCAGAACATTGTTCGAGTTGGCGTTCGGGACAGAGGTGGCCCAGACGAATGATAAGCAACACTGCTAATGTAAACAAGCGCTGGAGGCCAGTGGCGCTGCTCCGCGCGGGGCGGCAGATTCCTCACATTCCCACAACTGAAATTAAGGATGCAAGATATGTTTGGCAGAGCTTAGGACAGTTTTCCTGGATAGAAGGCAATGCATGCGATGTTGTGTGAATGTGTGTGTGTGTGTACCTTTTTGTACTAGTTCCCCGTGTAATCTAGTCATTCTGCTCTCTTCTTTTCATCCTCGACAACACTTTTACTCCGTTGAAAAGTCTGTTTCTGATGGGTTTTACTATTCTAAGTTGGTCATAATCTAGTCTAGATGGGTAATCAGTTGACCTACCCACTACTGGTCTTGGTTTCAGGCTGGTAGACCATCTTGGATCAGCATCTACCAGTTTGACCACTTTTATCTAGTAATTTTGCGGTTTTTAAGCAGGGATTCAATGAATGAAGTTAAATTGGCGTAATTATAACCATTTTCTGATAGTTCTTTCTAGTCCAAATCGGTCATAATCTACTTTAGATGGTTGGCTTATCCACTGGTGGTCTTGGTTTCAGCCTGGTAGTTTTTCCAGCAGGGATTCAATGATGTTCATGAAGTTAAATTGGCATGATTAATAACCGTGTCCTCCTTTGTCTCTCCACAGATTCCCTGGCTCTTCAAGAGCGTGGAGAACAGCCTCACTGGTGTGTGGTGGCGTACTGGGAGGAAAAGACCCGCGTCGGGCGCCTCTACTCCGTCCAGGAGCCGTCTCTGGACATCTTCTATGACCTACCTCAGGGCACGGGCTTTTGCTTGGGCCAGCTCGCCTCCGAAAACAAGAGTCAACTGGTGCAAATGGTTCGGGCCAAGATCGGCTACGGCATCCAGCTCAGCCGCGAACCCGACGGCGTGTGGGTGTATAACCGGAGTTGCTACCCCATATTCATCAAGTCAGCCACACTGGACAACCCCGACTCGCGGACGCTGCTGGTGCATAAAGTATTCCCCGGGTTTTCCATCAAGGCTTTCGACTTTGAGAAGGCAGGGAGCCTGCAACGGCCCAACGACCACGAGTTTAGCCAGCAGCCGAGGACGGGTTTCACCGTCCAGATCAGTTTCGTGAAGGGCTGGGGACAGTGTTACACCAGACAGTTCATCAGCAGCTGCCCCTGCTGGCTGGAGGTCATATTTAATAACCGGTAACAGCAAGCCCCACCCCCACCCCCCCCATTCCTTCATCGCTATGGAGACGGACTAGCCCTTACCTTTTATGGACTATGTTGTTTTGTTTCTGCGAAAAAGCGGACGATGTTTTGAGAGAAATGGAAAACGAAAACTCACTTTGACTTTAATAAATGACTAAGATTTAATTAAGTGAAATAAAAGCTAAAATGTATTTTATGTTAAATATAAATATATTATTACCTGTAAATACGAAGTTTTATATGCATTGTTATTTATGTTTTGTGCAATGTGTTGATGAGATGAAAAAGAGATGCACTTTGCTTAATATAAATGCAAACAAAGAAATGCCAAAATAAAAGAAAAAATATCGAATATATCTCTGAATTTGTGTGTTTTGCTAATATCAAGGTTGTTTTCTTGCCCTGTTTTGAACCTAATTGACCCACGAATTAAGACACTTTTGCAGCCATCATAGGCCTTTGCGTAAAACAAATTCTATACTGTTTATTTAGATTTTATTATGCTTGGCTCTAAAAGTTGAATTTTTTTTATATTTAAAATGTTTTATTTGAAATATTTTGCTGAAAATTCTACTTAAAAACAGTTAGCGTCTTTGAAAATCATTGAAAATACATTATCTTATTTAGATAAACTGATTCAGAATCACATTTTCTTTCCATCTGCGCCAAGTTTCAATATTTGAATACGTGAACGAGTTTCTGTGAGTAAATTCCCTCAGTGTAAGTGGAACGGCCCCTGTGCCAGGAACAGCAGGTCTCTGGGGGAGGGTGCCGTCTACGGGCCGTCTAGACGAGCGAGCGAGTGTGCGCCACACCTCCTGATATGGACGTCTGCTGGGGGGATTACAGCGTAAGCCTTCTCTGACCCTACCGGCCCTGACAGTCCTACATTCACCAGCCCCAGATTCACATAAACACCTCAGACTGACAGAAGTAGAGGATTTCATGATCAAAACAGAAACGTAAAAATGAAGTTTTATCTTTTTTCCTCCCTCCTCTGTCTGTCTTTCTTGGGTCGCTTTAGAGCATGTTAGTGTCTAAAGTGTATTCCTGGGTATTAGTGTCATGGTGGTGTCCTGGTCTCTGTAATCCAAACTCTCCTAATGCATCTAAAGCTTGTGCTGGCCAGGAAACCCGACAGATGCCTCGACCCGACACCAATACCAAGAGCTTATTTAGTCCACAAAGACACTGACCTGTGAACACAAAACCAGCTAATTACAACAGAAGCAAGGACAAATGGATGAGTAAATAAAATATTACATTGCATTTTAGTTGAAGGACTATTTCTCCTAAAACTGAAGAATCTCAATTATGTATTCCACTAACTCTGTGTTTATCTCTGTAACGCTGCTGGATCAAGCAGATCCCTGTCTGAGGAAACACAGGACGAGGACTCCACAGACACAAAGGAGAAGCTCTCAGCGCTGACGGCTCGTCTATGCCCCGAGGGATGGCACATTTGCCCCGGCTTGATAACTCACGCATCACTTAAAACAAATATGCTGCGAAAAAGACACACAGGCTTTTTTTGTTGACGTCAATAGTTTAGTTCAACAGTCTTTGAAATGGCATTTAAAAAAAGGCATCAGATCATAGTTTTTAGAACCAGAGAACACAAAGTTCTTTTTGTGCATTTTAGAATGTTTATCCTGTGACATCATGCTGTGGAAGCTTCATTCTTTATTGTTTGCTTTTAATTATCTAGCAATTTATTGTCACTTCAGTGTGCACTAGTGTGATGATGATTTGTGAAAAACTCATGTGTGTACAGGTGTGTTGTCCAAAAAAACAAAACATTTCCATATCGTATAACACAATGCACATTGTTTAAAGAGCTGTTTTATGAATAAAAAAAGCACTTTTTACACATATACACAATGTGAAAAACTATTAATGTAACTAATGGACAAACATGTTTTGAGTGAATTTTATGAAAATCTTAAGAAAAGTTCAGGTCATATTTGACCCCATAAAATATAATACAAAAATAAAATATATATATATATATATATATATATATATAGGGCTGTGCAAAAATTAATTGCGATTAATCGCATCCAAAATAAAAGTCTGTGTTTACATAATATATTTGTGTGTGCTGTGTATAATTATTTTGTATATATAAATACACACACATGCATGTATATATTTAAGAAAATGTGTTACTCATATACAGTATAAAATATTTATATTTATATAATTTAGATTATGCATTTTTATATATATACAGAATTTAAGCGCAAATAATTCTTAAATATATACATGCATGCATAGGTATTTATATATACAAAATAATTATATACAGCACACACAAATATATTATGTAAACACAGACTTTTATTTTGGATGCGATTAATCGTAATTAATTTTTGCACAGCCCTAATAAACTGTATATATATATATGTGTGTGTGTGTGTGTGTGTGTGCACAAATAGATCCTGGTCAAAAGTTTGGAAACTGCATTTGATCTAAAATACAGAAAAAACAGCAATATTGTGAAATATTATTACAAATGATTATTACAATTTTGATATTAATAAAATGAACTCTAAAGTAAACAATGTCTTAAAGGTTCTAAAATAGGCATCATTTTCTTAATGCAAAATATAATTTTCGATTTCTATTTTTTGATAATGGATGTGTGTAAGTCACCTGACTGACTTACAGATCCAGCACAGGCCAATACCTGCTACACATCACCCTGGAAAACCCCCCACAAAAGTCAGATACTTTATCTGATTTCAATTTGTTTTCCTCTTTCTCATCCATCAGATAACGGCGTTGCCCTCATACACCCAACTGCTTTCCGTTCACTCTTCACACGCTACGACCAGCCGACTGAAACCTGCGACTGACTCCGGCATGATGGAGCTGAAGCGTCTGTGATCTTAGTGTCTGATCTCTTTCACACACACAGCTGAAGGGATCGTTCACTCTTCACACACTACGACCAGCCGACTGAAACCTGCGACTGACTCCGGCATGATGGAGCCGAAGTGCCTGTGGTCTCAGTGTCTGATCTCTGTCACACACACACACACAGCTGAAGGGATCATTCCCTCAGTAATGAACTCACCCTCATGTTGTTAAACCCGTTTTGAAGAATCTGTCATGGTCCAAAAAAGACAAAAGCATTGTAACAGTCGTCCGTATGACTCAAGCGCTCTTTGTATTGTCATACAACAGCTTTGAGTGAGGAACAGACTGACATTAAAATCATTTTTTGTTTATTTGTTTATTTTGTTTTAATAATTTTTGCTTTAGTTTTAAATGTTTTAAAAGCGGCTTTAGCCCTGTAAGAATGTTCACGTATTTTTATTGCCAATTTGTACACTGTAAAAAATATTTTCAAGATGTTATCACAACATATTTTCTTTTGTCAAATCAACTTTATAATAATTTGTTTAGTTGAGATAACTTATTATTTTGAGTTTCTGATGATTAAATTAATCTCCTTCATTGTATTAACTCACTTTTTCCAGTTCAATCAACTTAAAATTTTAAGGCAACTCAGGTTACTTACTTTTTTTAAGTTAAACCAACAATATTTTTTTTACAGTGTAGTAATCACAACATTTTTTCTTTTGTCAAATCAACTTAAATAATTTATTTAGTTCAGATAACATATCATTTTGAGTTTCTGATGGTTAAATTAATCTCCTTCATTGTATTAACTCACTTTTTCCAGTTCACTAAACTTAAAATTTTAAGGCAACCGGGTTACTTACTTTTTTAAGTTAAACCATCGATATTTTTTTTACAGTGTAACGGAACTTTAAAAACAAGACTTTCCAATTAAGTAGGCCTAGCTTGTAATTAGATTTACTCATAATCAGACTAGTAATTTTTCTATTGATTACAAGATTACATCTCATTCTTAGCCTAGAAATCTAGACGCACCCGAGCGGCAGCAAAAATTATTTAGCAGCAAAGTGTGGTCTATCAACTCTCCATAGACGTTTTAGCTGGAAAATCCCAACTCTGGTAGGGCCAATCACATCGTGTATAGAGTAGGCGGGCGGGCTTAACATAATGACGACAGAGTTGCGACGGTCAGAGCAAGCTCGGACATATTCGGTTTGAAGTCGTTCATCCTCGGATGCGGCCGGCGCCGCGCGCGCTGTTACAAAAAAGCTGTGGCGAAAGGATCAACTTGTCATTTTTTGCCGTGCTGTGAGGCTTTACTCCGTGTCAGCGCGTGCTCTGATCGGTGCACGGACCTCTCCCGAATCATCTCCAGCACTCCAAAGCACCACTAATCCGCCTCCGTTTCCCTCGTAAGTTGATATTAGTATTTAAACATTCTCTATGATGTTATTTTTTTATGACACGCTGTCTCTTTCTCTCATACACACACACACACACACACACATACACACACATACTGTCTCTTTCTCTCTCACACATATGTAGGCTAGTTATAAACTCTTTAGACTTTTAATGATTAGTGTTTTATTTTTAAAGTCCCCGTGAAATCAAAATTGAACCTATTTACTTTGTTAGCGCATATTACTAGTCTTGTGGTGAACAATTAATCCGTGCAAGTAAAAATATATTTAAAAAAAATGTTTTACCTTGGTAATCTTTAATCAAAATCTGAAAAGTTACTTCCGGTCTGGAACGGTTTCTTTTTCTGATGACGTAGGTTTCACAGTTTGGGTGGGGAAACGCTTAACCACTCCCCTCAAACCGTTAGTTTGCTATGAGCGAGAGATGGAGAGGAGGAGCGCTAGAGTAAAACCCTGCCCTCTCTTTTTTTTTTTTTTTTTATTAACAATCACATGAAGTACAAAGAACAGAACAAACACCAGAGGGGGAAAAAAAAAAAAAATTGACAATAGTACAAATAATGCAAAAGAGGATAATCACATATATAAAGGAGATACAAACAATGGCACTTTAAAACAATAAAATGTTACACAATTTAACCCTGCCCTCTCTTCAATATTCCGTTTCACTTGGAAATACGTCACAGCACTGGAGAAAAATCGTTTGCAACTTCCGGTTCACGGGGACTTTAAAGTTTGTGGGTCGTGTAAAAAACTAAAAAAATCCCTTATTTTGGGGATGGATTCCGGGAAATCTCCTTTATTTTCAATGTTCAATGTTGACAGCTGTACTGGATACGATAAAAGGTTTTTTATTGTTTTTTTTTATTTTATTGAAATAATTATACATTACAGTAAATAGCAAAAAAATACAACATTAATTAAAATAATAATACAATAAAGAAACAAAAAAACAAAAAAAGAAACCGGTATGAGATCATGAAGTAAATAACATAAAAGCTTCACATAAAGACCTCGTACGTTTTGCTTTACTATTTTTTAACCTAAGAAGTTTCTATCTGA